TATATATATACATATATAAATAAAATATATACACACACCTTTGGTTCCATTGATAGGTGTTTCTGTTTGGAGTTTCTTCAGCAATTTCAGTGGTGATTTTGATAAGTTCTTCTGGACCTTGTATCAATTATGAAAGGAAAGGGATTAGAAAGGAAACTACATATTACAGGAAAAACAAGCCTGTCAATTCAAGCTGACTCTTGAAGTCTTGTAAGTCAAAAATTAGAATTAAGTTTGAAATTGAGTAAAAAATTGAAACAATATGCTTTCTTCCTTATTTATTTCATTCTCATCTCTCTGTGGGAGCCAAACCCAAAATTAATGAAAATGCTTACCTCATTTTGTTCCCCAGAACTCTCTGCTTCTTGCGGAATCATGTTGTGTTCACTTTTCGTTTCACTTTTAAGAAAAGCTTGGATGGCCTCCTGAACCAGAGTATCAACAGATAGTACCTGAATATTGCAAGCTAATACACAAAAAAATTAGATAATTTTACAGTTTGAGTTGAGCATACATATAAAGAGGCTATTACTGGCAATTAAATTAATGCTTTTAATTGGGCTTTTGATGTAAGTTGTTTCCACTGTCTCTCCTCTGTAACCCCTGCACAGTGTGTATCCACAATCACATAGCTATCTTGCTAGTCTCTTCTATAACAAACACCCCCAGAGAAGTTTGACAAAAGCATTTTCAAATTCCCAATGCAGAAGTAATACTATATTAACACTATTCAAGTTCAGGTGTTTTTAATCTTATTTTGGAAGATAATGAATGAATGACTTGCAACCAACCCCCGCAAAATACATAGGCATCTCAGGTTCAACGATTCATAATGCAAGGATTTGCCCAAATGACCTTTGTTGTAAGAGTGAGATTTTAATGCAAATAAGCATTTTGAAGAATTTTAGGGGGAAAAAAAAAAAATCTCTACCTTTTTCAAGAAACTTTACACAGGTAGTTTTTCCACTAAAAAGTTTTCCCAAAATACATCCCTTGATAGGAAATGGAGGAAATACAGGTATTGAAGATTTAGGTTTTGGAGGACAGAAAATCTCCATCAGTCTACGAAGCACATGACCCAATATGTTATTATTAAGAGGAGGTTTGTTTTCACTGTTCTCTTCAGTTGGGCACCATTCCCCTGTCATACTCTGTATAAATGACAGATTACCAAACAATTTGTCAATATGCCTTGTCCTTCATCTTTCCTGATATATGTATTTATACACAAACACAATACATCCAATAACCAAATCTGAATAGTACTAAATAATAAAATATTTTTTAGACTAGACCCTTGTTAAAAGCTATAATTATGTCATAATTATTAAGCATTTATTGATATTCACTAATACCTAGTTGAGAGAGACAAGTACCCCTACAACCATTTTCACAGATTCCTAGAATCACTTTTTTTAATTCCACAAACATGAAAAATAATTTCACCAATACCACAGAATGAATCAGTAGCGACTTTTGGAATAGAAGCCCAGTATCCTGATACTCAGCATTCTAAAAACTGGGCAACATTATTGGCCAGTATCACACATAAATCTTCAAAAATTTTTACAGACAACGATTTAGAATATATATATTCTAACACACATTCAATAGAGAGAAAAAAACAAAAACCCAACAACCCAAAACAAACAAACCACCATATAATTCAAACAATATTAAGGGAAGGAAATACTGAGTAAAAACTTTCAGTTCATCTACTCTGAGACCAATATAAATTTATCAGTGGTATGAGTTACCAGCATACAGCTTAATGAGGTTTTGCTAGTAAAGATACTGTTACTGACAATCACATTAGAAGAAAGAAGAGAAAGGAAGGATGTAGTCAGAAGAACTGAACACAGAATTTTGCTTTTGCCACTCCAATATATACTGTACCAGTATTGGATCTTATGACACTAGGAAAGTCCTGATGTGCAATTTATGCTATGACAAGGTAAAAGAGAACATTTTAGTATGCAGGATAATACTAGTCCTGTATTAATTATTGTTTGGTTGCAGGCTACCAAACAGCTGTTTGGAAGATATGTGGACTAATGATATTCCCTATTAGATTCTAGATTGTCACCTCATTTGGGGTGCACAATGAAGGGTTGAGAGGCAAAGTCAAATGTTTCAGCAAGAGAAATTCCAACTAGGAAAAAAAATGAAGAAAAAAAAATGTTCACAGTGAGAGTGATTAGGTACAGGAACAGGTTGCACAGAGAATCTGTGCAATGTCTATCCTTGCAAATACTTGAAAGCTGACCAGACAGGGTGCTGAGCAACCTTATCTGACTCAGGAGCTGGCCCTGCTTTGAGCAAAGAGGTTGACATAAATGACCTGCACATCCCTTTCAACCTAAACAACTGTACCATTCTATAAATTAAATATTTAATCACCATCAACAGAAGCAACCAGTTTCAAAGTTCTACTGAAAGATAATGTTTTGAATTCACGTTCTAGGTAGAATATGCAACATTTTCCTGAACTTACTATCATGAATAATATATTACCACAGCATATATTCTACTAACAGAACTTGATCAGTGTTGACTCTGAACATATGCGCATTAGATAGAATAACACAATGCAACTTATTATCACTGTAAATGAAAAGATAATCTATTTTTAATCAGTAAAAACAAACAAAAAAAATCTTTTTGAGTTGTACAGCATCCCCTCTCTATCTCAGAAAATGTAGTTCTTAACACGTAATTGAAAAGACGTGCTTAAAAAACCCAAATCCTTGTCTTATCTGAACTATGTGAATGAATTCAGATGTATACTCAGATACTATGTGTATCGGAATTACGTGAATGTGCATTTGAAACAGACTGATGGCAAAAAAGAGGTTTTAAATGTGTCATTAAATGTTTGCAACCTTCAGTGACCTTACATCTAGAGAAGACTACTGAGACTTTGTAATATAAACAACAATATGACTGAGAAACTTAATTTTTCATTAGTGCTCCCCACTGTTTCCTGCCTGTCTGTCCTGTATGTCCTCCCTGTTAGTCTGTATATATGCCTTTTTTCACCTAAAGAAAGTGATCATAAAATTCATTACATGAGTTGATATGGTCTGGACAAGGACCTTATAAATAGATAAGTCAGAAAAATGTATGTTAAGATTGAAACCAAAGTAAATTGAGCAGTCAGGCATTCATCATAGAAACTCACAACAAACATTTGTGCTCACTGGAACAGAAAATCTACCAATTGGTTCAGGACATGGATAAAAGCACATATATATTGTAGTTACAATTTTCTAACAAGTCAAAGACAGGTTATTTGCCATGATTTTGCCATATTCTAGTTAAACAGATTATTTGAAAAGACTAAATACATAGCGGGATTTTTTTTTTCCAAAGAAAAGCATCATTAATGTAATTTGGAAATAACTGTACAACACATTTCAACAGGGAAACATTGATCCCTCATCTTTCACTTGTGAAATTACATTAATGTATTGTGAAGTTGAAGAAAAATTTTAAGGCACCCTGAAAAATAGTTACTGGTATTCTAACAGAAGGTTACAGCCATTTTTAATAATTTTCACAAACGTTATAATTTTAAAAGAAATGGATCACTCAAACCAATAAATCTTGTTAGAAAGCTTTCACTCAAAATTGCTGAAATTAAGACTATCAGGTTTTGTAGCAGACACAGTATTTCATTTCACTTGCTTTTGCTGGCTACTTTCTGTTGCATTTTCAAACATGGTAGCACTAACCACACAAATTCCAATTAGCTAAAAATTAATTGCATTGCAATTAACATGTTGGTCGCACAAACTTGGGAGAGAAATATAATCAGTGTTATACACAAGAATGAAATTATAACAGTTTTAAAATTGCACCAGTTCTCCAGTACTACTAAAATAAAATATAGCCATATAATTCACACAGAACCTCAGGCAATGCAAAGAAAATGCATGTCAAAATCTGATACCAGAAACTAGTAAGAGAACAAAATGAAACATCACAACAAAATGATTATGAAAAATCAAGGTGTATTATCTTCCATTATGTCTTATCAGTTTGATGTACCTTGTATTCACCATAATCTTTTTCATCTAACAGATTCATTTTATTTAGCTCTACAAGTTGTTCTGGGCTTGGTTCATTTGGCAAAGGTTGAATTGAGGCTTGTTCATACATTGGTTTTCCATTAAAAAAAAATTCCTTCCAATCAAGCATCAGTTTTAAAGGAATTCTGCTGCAGAAGGAAAAAAAAAAAAAAAGAATGAGTTCCAAACCAAAAATTAAAGTGGCTTTTGAGAACAGTGGACCCAAATTTACAAGAATCACAATCATGAAACAAGCATATGCTAATCTAGATATAGTTTATAATGCTTTCTGTAATTATTACAGCTTTTTATAAGTGTTACTTATATGTATGTTACTTGTAGCTTTTTATAAGGTTACTTATAGGCTTTTTATAAGGTTACTTATATGACAGCCATAGGCACTTGTAGGCTTTAGTATTTTCACAAATGTATCATCACACAGTATTTGGCTGGCAGAGCTGTGTAGTAACAGTTTTGCTATAGCTGCTTTTCCCTGTTCCAAAATATTCTTTCCTTTTGTGGGGTAAAGCCTCCTCCCACCAAAAATCTACAGAATTTTCTCCTGGAAGCTAAAATTAATTTAGAATTATATGAGTAATTAAACTCAACAGTTTTTCTTTTAGAAAGGAAAAATATTAATATGAAACAACAAGGCAAACTGCATACAGAGGCAAGCTAAATGCAAATAGGATGCTGACATATATCACATTAAAATTCTATGGCTGTTAAATAAACAGTACAAATAACAGCTTAAATTTAATCAATGGTCAAAATGAAAGTTTCTGCTGTTCCTTAAGATTACATCAATTTGGACTTTCTTTTTTTTAGTAATGATTCTAGACAGTTGAGTGCTATAGCTTTAAATAAACTCTGCATGTGCTGTTCAAAAATAATTGAATACCTATCATACACATCCTGCACAATGAAATGCAAGGAAGGCCAGACAAAGCACACCTATAGTGGCAGTAAATGCAGATAAAACCTTGATATGCACACTTTGGAAAGATATTTCAAATATCTGTACATATTGTGCACCACTCAGTACAAGCAAATGTGACACTACCTTACACTGGAACCATGACTGCGTCAGACAAGGAAATCATCAAATCATTACTAAACTGTGTCTAGGCTGACTATTTTATCATGTACTTACTGGGCCTAAATTTATATAATTTGCATAAAATATAATCATATGTGTGGTTACAGCTTTATTATTTTAACATACAATTACACTAAAAGGCAATAAAGATTTTGGCATACTTTCTAGTGCTGTAAGCCTTATCCCATAGTCTAATCACTGAATACTAATGAAAGAACAAGAGCAACAACGCCCAGCTCTGTGGTTGTGGAAACACTCCTACAGCACAGGCACTTGCAGGTTACAGCCTTTTTAGGACCTTCTCGGAAACCCTGTGCAATTAGGGCATGTCAGAAGAGGGAATCACAGCATGTCAGATGTAGAAGATTTTGGACTGAGTTTCTACTCTTAGGACAGTCCAGGCAGGTTGATATATCTTTGGAGACCAGCCAGGTTAGCTCAGTTGGTTAGAACACAGCGCTAATAATGCCAAATTCACAGGTTCAATCCCTGCTTACTGCAGGGGGGTTGGGCTCAATGATCTCTCAAGGTTCCTTCCAACCCAAAGCATTCTATGATTCTATGAAATTCATTCTGTTTATATTACACTGAGGAAGTGTTCAGCTAGTGGAGCAATCTAGAATAAGATGAGCACCACTCAAGTTTTTCACTTTTAAACTAAGGAATTTGTTCATAAAAAAGGAAACCAAGAGTTCCACAAGCTGTAGAACTAGTGGATCTTGGTCTTCTAAGGATTCAGGTTAGTTGAGTTTTCAAGAAATTACGCTAAGGCTTTAGCATTAGTTCACCCCGTATTACACATCAGTGAATCCTCACATAAAACTAATATCATCACTTTCCCACACAAACTAATTGGAGCTGTCCTGTAAGATATCTGAGAATCTGCATAAGATGTTATGGTGCTTAAGCCAGTCTGAATAATGAAGCCTAACAGCTACATAACATCTGTTATTTTTGCCTAACAACTACCATACTCACTTGTTTGTCAGTAGATGATATTCTCCTACTTTTGTTGACAAATCAATTATTTGGTCGATCACTTCCCAACATATAGAATAATGTTTTTTATAACGTGCCTGAGCTCTTTCAATGGCAATTTTCTCATGACATTCTTTTTCTTTGATAATTTGTTCTTCATAATCAACTTTTTCTTGTTTTGCAAGAGCCTAGAATTTTTTTTTTAAAGAGTAAATTTGAGATTGCAAAGAAAATGAAAGTGCAGAAGTGCACAGTCCTGGCAATAAAAATGAACTTGCTCATTTAAGTCAAGAAATGAAACCAGCTAGATTCTCACCAGAGTTGGATAGCCAGCAAGCAAATTAACACATAGACAAATGTACAAATTTTTATTAATTCTATAAATTCCACTTTGTTTGCTTTCTAACTGCTAAAACATAATGAAATAAAGAAGTATGCTACTTCTTTAATGACAGATTAAGAATGTATTCAGTGCTTAGGGGACAGGGAAACATGAAATGATGCTGTCTACTCTTCCTAAGGAACAGCTATGCAGATGCATTGGTAAAGGCTTAGTTCCACTGAAACTCACAATGGAACACTCATTTAGAATATGTGACAAGTAATTTGACTTACAAGATTCTGATCTGCAAACAATTTTGTACTATTGATACTGTTCAATCTTTGAGAAAGATTTCTGGTCACAGGAGAAAATTATCAGTACTTCCTGTGATGGTGTGTTCCTTTTGGCCAAAAGAGTACTTGAAGAGATGTTGTAATCAACAGCTATAGCTGCTGATTACACAGGACTCCAGCTGTGTTGGAGGATTTGGAACTGCTAATTGTTTTTGGCAGGAGCAAAGTAAGATTTCTACCATCACATTATGGCCTACTATAAGCATAGCGCTTGGCAGTTTGCCACAGGATTATGAGTCCTTTTAATTTATTAATCCACTCCAAGCTCCAAGGTAGAAATTAGCATTCATGAGTGAAACTCCTCTAGCTTTTGTCAAAAATGGATGTTAACAGGTTACATCTAAAGGAAATGAAAAACATGATTCTTGAAACAAGATCTTATGTCATTGTCTTTTGCCATTTTGCCTCTGCAAGACTGTGCCTTTTAAACTCAGCAGAGACATTTTCCTACAAAGTTAAAATTAGTTTGGAAGAAAAGATCAAAATTAGACTCTAAGTTGCTCAGCTTTATCCCTTATTAACTTAGCTGTAACTTTGAACATAGATAAAAGAATATATTCATCATTAAATCACCCTGTCCCTAGAAAAGTCCTAAATTCTAGCAGTTGACAATACAAATCCCATTTTGTAACAGGAAGGCACTGTAACAGTCCTGCAGCAATTCAGGGAGTTAATAATCTTTTACCGCTTCTCTATCAAGAGCTTCCCGGAACTCTTTCAGTCGTCTTTCTTCATATTGTTTTTCCCTGAAAATTCTGTTTTGCCTTAACACCTCTTTTTCATGTCGAACATGCATGAGTTGAACAGCAATCCTCCGCTCCTGCTGAGATTGTCTCATCAGTCTGTAAATAAGTTGCTCCTCCCGGTAAGCCTCCTAAAAGATAAAAACTAACAGCATTAAGCACAGCTTATAAACTATTTCATAGACAACTCATCAGCGTCTCATATGAGAAATATGAATGGAATCATATAACAGCATTTACTTGCTCATTTGATACATAAATCCAGAACAACATACGTATCTATTTATGAGTACTATTTTTGTAAACTATTGTGCTGGGTTTGGCTGGGGTAGAGTTAATTTTCTTCATAGTAGTATGGGGCTATGTTTTGGATTTGTGCTGGAAACAGTGTTGATAACACAGGGATGTTTTAGCTACTGCTGAGCAGTGCCTACACACAGTCAAGGCCTTTTCTGCTCCTCACCCCACCCCACCAGCGAGCAGGCTGGGGGTGCACATGAAGTTGGGAGGGGACACAGCTGGGACAGCTGGCCCCAACTGACCAAAGGGATATTCCACACCATATGATGTCATGATCAGTATATAAAGCTGGGGGAAGAAGAAGGAAGAGGGGATATTCAGAGTAATGGTGTTTTGTCTTTCCAAGTAACTGCTTTAGGTGATGGAGCCCTGCTTCCCTGGAGATGGCTGAACACCTGCCTGCCAGTTGGAAGGAGTGAATGAATTCCTTGTTTTGCTTTGCTTGCATGCACAGCTTTTGCTTTACCTATTACACTGTCTTTGTCACAACCCATGACTTTTCTCCCTTTTACCCTTCCAATTCTCTCCCCCATGCCACCGCGGGGAGCAAATGAGTGGCTGTGTGGTTCTTAGTTGCCGGCTGGGGTTAAACCACAACAGCTATGTAAGAATCGTAGAACTATAGAAGTGAATTCTAAATATGTCTTAACTGAGATACTCAGCAAAAATACATTTGTTCAGCTTAACTCAATTTTAACTTGGATATTTCCTCTGCGCAAAGAAACTGCATAATATTTCAAATAATTGCTTCACATTGTATGTGAAGATATACCCTTTCCTCAAATTATTAACTTATGCCTGCTCTTCACCACTACCCACCCTGCCATACTCTGCTGGATCCTTGATCAGTCTATTCCTCTACAGGTTTGAACTTTTTCCTTCTTTCTTGGGATTTGGGTAATTATCTCCTCCATTCAGGAGACTGGGAATATGAGGAAGCATTCAGAACAGAGGAAAATACAAGACTTCTGGGTAACAGTTGCAGTGTTTTCACTGGGACATGAATAGAATCCCCTACTCAGTACTATAATAAAACCATTCTGAACCATTACTTGAAGCATGGTCAGCATGCAGACACTTTGAAGGCTGCGGACTGTTACTTTTCAAAGTACTTGTCAAAACATAATAGCATCTTCTCACTACTACACTTCTCTAGACTGTTCTTGGTATCTAAACTAATGCTTCACCTAACCTAAAGTTTTGCCTCACTATTTGCACAGTCCAGAACTACTTCTGAGTTCTAAGCAAAAGCATCAGCTTGCCTTTCAAGCCCCATTGCCAAATATCACTCTTACAGCAGAATTTTAGAGGAAATTTCTGATTCCCTGCACATTTGTTTCAGATGCAGCAAAACTGCTATGAAATGTATTCAAATTTAAGGACCTAAATTGGGAACTGATCTGAAGATTTCAAATTCACTTTCCTAAGAACAGAGGAACAGGTAAGCCAGCTAGTAGTAGTATGAAAACCAAACCAAAATAAAGTATCACTTCTATTTTCTTTTCCATCTGGTTTATTTTCAGTCAGCTGGCTGTGGAAGAGAGGGTAGAACACATTACATGAGTTCACCTATAAATGAAAAATCAAACTTTATTACATATTATCATACTGTTTATGAAAGAATTCTACAAAGATGTCTAGATCTGTGCTACATAATGCAACCAGGACATCTGCAATAGATTTCTAACATAAAGCTCCAAAACATGGCTATTTTAATTGCAATAATAAGAACCACAACTTTCTAATTAATTTAGATCTTTAATGTTGATGTTAGGGAGAAGCCAATATTTTTCAAACAAAACTCTTTCCATATTTTTAAGTTCCTTTCCCTTTACAATTGCTGGGAATAAAGTACATTCCAATTAAATGCTGGTGACTTGAAAAGACTAAGCTGATATAAAAAACCCTCAACATTTTGCTTAATTTAGCCAAAATGTGAGCTTTGCACTCCCCTTTCCTAGCACTGAATCTCATGACACTGCATGATAGTTCTAATGGCAAAGATGCGGTCATCTCAGGCTTTAATCCCAGAGCGTTTCACCTGCACACAACACTGTATCTCTACAAAGCTTATCACAAAATGAGGATTTAATTTTGAATGTGTTTTGTTTTGTGCTCTATTTGTAGTCTACCATTTGTACACTGTTTTTCTACGCACAGTATTATCATCATGCATGCAGCTGAAATGCAAAACAATGCAATAGTAACAACTTTATATGCACTTCATATTTTCATATTCATGCTATGTGTCATTTGACATAGTTCAGGTGATAAAGTTTTCCAGTAGCACTGCCTGCTGAAGAGTTAATCTGTCCATTTGTCTCTTACATTAATGAAGTCAAGGCAATAAAAGGACACATGATGCCCTTTGCTACCTCAGTTCTATCCACTGCTTCTTTGGACCTGGTATTTCATTAAGATTTCAAAGATTAGAGGATGCACAGGCTTTGCTTCCTATTACAAGTAAATATCCTTCATTATTTTCTTTAGTTCCTCAACCATGGATTAGTACAGCAATAAGTAATCCACCAGAGGAAAATGGATCTTTAAATCCTAATTCACAAGGGATTAAAGGGGCCAGCCTAACAGAGTGATCATTTGTCATGCTCAAACCATCAACTCTATAGTGCAAATAGTTGGCACAGGGAGAAATCAAAGCACCTCATCTAGGTGAATGAGCTCTTTATAAAGGAAATGGGAAGACGCTCCCTTAGAACACTTCAGAGCAGCCAAAAGAAACCTTTTATTTGTTAACTGAAGGTTAGAGAACTTCAATATTCTAAGCAATCAAATATTTTGACATGCTGAGTAGGCCTAAAAAAGGCCAGCAGGAAATTTCTGAGAAACAAGAATATATGAAAAGGCAATTAACTCAGAGCTATACAATGGATAAATTAGGATTCAGAACACCCAACTCGTAATTTCAAAAATGGTGCTTATTGGATAGGGGAGTGAAGCATTGGTAGCTATCTTTCACACAAACAGGAATGGACAAAGTACCAGAACGTAAGGTTGAAAAGTTTTGAAACTTCTAGGCATACTAGGAGACAAAAACAGTAGTACAATTTTTTGACCTAATGTTTTACATCAACTTCTTCACAGAGGACTGAGAAGTGTCTGAAGAAATCATAAGTATCATAAATGGGACATCTGAGTAATCATTTGAAAAATTACTACTGAGAAAGCACAATACACACTTTTTTTCAGTTTACCTACTTGAGACAACAGTGGCACCCAGTGGCCAAACATTAGTGTGTTTATGTTTCATGTTGTTCATGCATAATTACTATATTATGTTTTTCTATTTTTCTATTTCCTTGTTTAATTTACATACAAATGAAACACTTCTGTCCTGTTGTGTAGTCATAAAATTTATGACCAAAACTTATAGCTTGGCATATAGAAGTCTATTTGTTTGACAAGCAATAATCTAGTAACAACTAATTTCCCCTCCCATTTTCTTCTTCTCAATTTATTCCTGGTGGTAACTTCTTCCTGGTAACTTTTTAAATTCAGAGAGAAAAAATCTGAACAGAGTATTTTAAAATGAGTACTTAGAACAAATACTTTGTTGAAATGGTGGAGATCAAAGATTCAGTTGGGATGAAGCCATGTTACTGTCAAACATTTTCAACTCCTGCCTATGAAAATCTGACTGACATCACCCTGTGATCCACATAGAGGAGTGTCATGTAATTGTAAAGTACTTTTTCTTCCAGGCTCCAACTTGTAGAGTGCCAAAACTCAAAAATTTGGGCAAGATTCTTTTAGTAGAGGATGGACATGAAACACACTAAAGCACGCTGAAGGGATGAAATTCATTTGACTCTAAATGATCCTGTGCCCTGTGTTCAAGTTTTATGCAGTATAGGTAAAAAACTGACCCTAATATCTACAAGAAAGCTACAGTCTCAGTCTGCAAATCCTTTCTGGTTTCATGTCTAATGGAGGAAGAAAGTAATTTTCAACTACTTTATATATATATTTTTTTTTTTTTTTAAAGACAATATGTTAGTTTGCTTCACACTTCTCTTAAGCCAAGCAACATCTAATTTCTGAAACCTCACAGAGTTCCAACCAGACACCTCCTCCTCTGCTAATTTAGAACCAAATTACCACTAAATAGATTCTCTGATCTGGTCAGAGTACTATTCCAGTCAACTGCTCACTTGTCTTTCCTTCTAATTCCTGCAGTCTGTGACTTCTGTTGTTCCTATATCAACACTGATTTTTCTTCCTGGGAAGTTAGGAACTCTATTGTTACTTTTGCCTTGCTTTGGAGCCTCACTGGAGCTGGTCTGATTGGCAGCCCATTGCAACATTCCTCCACCTCAAACTGACAAGGCTTGTACTACAATCACAGGTGGACCAGCTGTCTGACCTCCTCGACAGCACTGGCTGACTTTGCTGGCTTAGAGCTGCTGTATCCACCAAATGCCCCAGTGATTGATGCTGGCCACATGGCCATCAGCTGATAGCCATGGCTGTCTGAACCACTAGTCCGGGCTGCTGGTGTTGTGCTGGGGCTGCAACTGCTGATAGCAGGAAAAGAGCAAATTTTGTGACTACAGTGGTTTCAGACAACTGGGTTGCAAAACTTCTTCATGGCCTATGCATATCAACAAGAATATGATATATAATCTCTTTCAGTGAGAGCTCAGAGACAGGATATATGGATAGATGGACTCTTCGTCTAAGCCACTATAGGTGTTTTTCATACAATATAGGTCCGGGATAGATATTGAAAAGTCATCTAATTTCTAGATGCCTACACTAACAAATTTATTTTTTTCTTAACAATTCCAAAACCATCTCCAGACATTACATGTTAATGCTTATATATATATATACAAAAATATATATAAAACCTCATACTATTCTTTTTCAGAGATGCCACACATCTGAAGTGCTATTATTACACAACAGCAGTGGAGACAGGCACGGCTACACTGGGTTCAACACATACGATCTAAGCTAAGGACTCACAGTGCAATACTAAGATAAAAGATAACTAGAAATCACAGAAACCCAGTAAGTTACAATGTTCTGATTTCATACAATCATTATGAAAGAGAAGATCTGTGAAGTCAGTAATCTAAGAGCTGCTTTTTGAATGAGGAGTGTCTGAGACAGAATCTGAAAAGCCTTGTGCTTTATGGGACAGGATTCAAATGGAGTAACCTGCAACACCCACTTTTAGACACAATACAGACATCCTCCAGAGACATGTCTTCTATTTGATAACACATCAGAAATCAAAGCTCTGAACTGCAAAATAAGTATTTTGCTTCCTCATATCACCCAACACAACCATTTCAGAATTCATCCAGTCCACATCAAAAACTTTACATGACACATTTGTAAATACAGGT